AGGAGAGGTGCCTGAGGACTGGAGGAAAGCAGAAAAAAAAAATGCAAGAAGAAAGACCCGGCTAACTACAGACCAGTCAGCCCCACCTCCATCCCTGGAAAGGTAATGGAACAACTTATCCTTGTCTCTGTCTCTGGGCATGTCAAGGGTAAGAGGGTCATTAGGAGAAGTCAACATGGTTTTACGAAAGGGAAGTCATGTTTGGCCAACCTGATAGCCTTTTATGAGGACATAACCAGGTGGATAGGTAAAGGCAGTGCAGTGGACATAGAATCATAGAATCATAGAACAATTCAGGTTGGAAAAGACCCTTGGGGTCATCGAGTCCAACCATTAACCCTACACTACATGTTCACCCCTAAATCATATCACCCAACACCACATCTAAGCGACACTTGAACACATCCAGGGATGGCGACTCAACCCCCTCCCCAGGCAGTCTATCCCTCAGGGGTCGGTACTGGGGCCAGTACTATTCAATATATTCATCAATGACCTGGATGAGGGAACAGAGTGCACCATCAGCAAGTTTGCTGATGATACAAAACTGTGAGGGGTGGTTGACACACCAGAAGGCTGTGCTGCCATTCAGAGAGACCTAGACAGGCTGGAGAATTGGGCAGGGAGAAGTCTTATGAAATTCAACAAGGGCAAGTATAGAGTCTCGCACCTGGGAGAGGACAACTCCAAGACCAGTACAGACTGGGGACTGCTGTTGGAGAGCAGTGTAGGGGAAAGGGACCTGGAGGTCCTCGTGGACAGCAGGATGCCCATGAGCCAGCAGTGTGCCCTTGTGGCCAAGAAGGCCAATGGCATCCTGGGGTGCATTAGGGAGTAGCTGGTAGGTCGAGAAGGGTCCTCCTGCCCCTCTAGTCTTCCCTGGTGAGGCCACATCTGGAATCTTGTTTCAAGTTCTGGGCACCTCAGCTCAAGAGAGACAGGGAACTGCTTGAGAGAGTCCAGCGCAGAGCCACAAAGATGATGAAGGGAGTGGAACATCTCCCTTCTGAGGAAAGGCTGAGGGAGCTGGGTCTCTTAATCTTAGAGGAGACTGAGGGGTGTCCTTACTATTGTTTATAAATATATCAAGGGTGCGGGTCAGGAGGACGGAGCCAGGCTCTTCTCAGTGATGTCCAGTGACAAGACAAGGGGCAACAGATGCAAGCTGGAACATAGGAGGTTCCACAAAAACATTAGGAACAACTTTTTCACTGTGAGAGTGACAGAGCCCTGGCATGGGCTGCCCAGAGAGGTTGTGGAGTCTCCTTCTCTGGAGACATTCAAAACCCGCCTGGACACATTCCTGTGTGACCCACTGTAGGTGATCCTGCTCTGGCAGGGGGGCTGGACTAGATGATCTTTCCAGGTCCCTTCCAACCCCTAACATTCTGTGATTCTGTGACACCAAAAGTAGCAGAAACAGATTACTAAAGAAGACACAGAGAGACCTATCTTTTAAAATATATGTGAAATCTACCTCTCACTGTGCTTACAGGTAATGCGTATCCAATATTCCTCTATGGCAGGGAGAGATGCTACCATTTCAGTTAACAAGGAAAGTCATCAAAGATCAAAATCCATATCGTCATTTTTAGCTAATTGCCTGCACATACTGTACTGGTGGAGGATGAGGTGAGGCCCTGATAACATGGGGGCACAGTACATGGGCAGTGTATTCTGTGTTCTGCCTCAATATTTTCTCTCCCTTGAGTCAGTGCATCTGAAGTGTGAGGAGCATCAGGATGTTGAAGTGTGGCCGAGGGTTCCCTTTCATCCTCAGAGAGTCTCTTCTTTCCATGTCTCCCCAAAATTATGAAGGCTCCATAGTTTGCTGGTGTTATCTTGGCCCAGCGTGATGTATTTTCTTCTTGAAAGAAGTTGTTTCATCCAGAGTTGGTTCAGATTATCTATAGCTGGACCTCTGTGTGGCCTTTAGTTTTATGGCAGGCTTTCTGAACATCTGTAAAGTTTTCACTTTTTTCTGTTAAATCATGATGTTCTTGTTATACTCCCCCTAGTTCCACCATGGAGCTAAAATTCCTGAGCAAATCAGCTCAATACTGCTCTCTTCCAACTTTTTAAGCCCCTTTCGAAAACCTGTATAAATCTTAAAGAAAGTCTTTGAATTTAACTGCTTATTTGAGAAATCACTGGCCTGCCTTCTGAGACCTTTTTGAGTGGTTGTTCTTATTCGCAGTTGTTGGGAAGTTACAAAACCACAGCTGAGAACTACCCTCTCAGCTGAAATAATTTTTCTACCATCAAGTAACTGCTTTTAACGCATAGAGAAGCAAGAGGACTTCCAGTATTTTGTGTAAGAAAATCAGTTCTGGTAAGAAGATAATCAAGATTTTTGACAAAGGTTTCCATTTCAGATATCTGATATCTAAAGCTAAACAAAAAAGAAAGACTGGGGTTGTTCCTGGTTTTTATTTGTTTGTTTTTCCAGAAACGGGGAGAGGAGGAGGAAAAAAATAAGGTAATACAAAGTTTCCTATTTACTTCCATTCTTTCCCTCCCTCTAAGGTGTCCAAAACAGTGCACAGTTAACTGGTCACCTAAACCTCACCACTCCCACAGCAGGGCAGCAATGACCGTGTGAGCTACATTAGTAGCTGTGGGTAAAGAAACTTGTGCTTTGGCAGCCCTGTGCAGAGCTGAAATCCTTGGCTTGCCTCCAGCAGCAGAGGTTTGCCCCTTCAAACATTGCTGAAACAATGGATTTTATTTTCCTGAGACAGAAAATGAGTTAGACACATACAGCTGACTAAGATTTTCCTCAGAGCATTTTTCAAGCATTGCTGCTTTTCCTTCTTTAAAATCTGGAGGCAAAGGGGTGATTATAGAGAAAATATATTTTGTTAAGCAAATCTTTAGGTCTGTGTGAATAGGTTGACTAGAGGTAGGATTTTTTGCCCATAGATCTGGGAAAAGATTTGTGTTTGCCCACATGAAAGTCGCTATTATCTCTCACTGCAGATATGGACGCTATGGTTGTCTCTCACCGGTGTAACCTGCCAGGACTTTCCCAAACTGCAATGGCAGAAACATTTAGCATTTTTGACCCAGCCTAGCCAGAAGTTATAACCCTCCGGCAGTGGCAGGGAGCCCCAGATCCTCTCAGGTAAAGTTTTGATTCCTGCCCCTCCTGCCCAGAGCTGAGACTAGGAAGACTGGGAGGAGCTGGTGTTGCTCAGGCTGTTTGTGGAGTGCATGGAGTCCTACCAGTTCTTGATGCTGAGATGACATTATAAAGGATCCTAACAGCAGCTCCTGACAGTTCATTATAAAATCAAAGAATCGTAGAATGGTTTGAGTTGGAAGGGACCTTAAAGATCTTATCTAGTTCCAACACCCCTGTTATGGTCAGGGACACCTGCCACTAGACCAGGTTGCTCAAAGTCCCATCCAGCCTGGCCTTGGACACTTCTAGGGAGGGTGCATCTCTGGGCAACTTGTTCCAGTGTCTCACCACTCTCATGGTAAAGAACTTCTCTCCCTAATGTCTGAACTAGATCTACCCTAGAACAATGGTTTAGTGCCATCAAAGTGTTCTACTCATCCATTAAACATCATTGCCCTTAGTGAACCTGATGTTACCTTATGATGATGTTTCTGTATTTTGTGTGTTTGTGCAGAGATGCTGGCAGCAGGGCCTGCAGGGCAGCCTTTGTGAGGAGAGGCGATTTTTGCCTCATCCAGCTCTTCTAGGGAGCCTAGGCTTTACTGTACATGCACTAGACTGTTAAGGATGACCATTTGTGCAGTAACATGCAGCTTTGGTTGACACAGAAGCTAAATTCTTGCCCTGCCAGAAAAGTTGAGCCCTTTACTCTGTAGCAAATAATGAGGAATGGAGACGGGAGCAAGGGCTTGGAGCTGGTAAGAGAAAATTGCTAAGCTGAAGGGAAAAGGATTTTTCTTTTCCCAGGAACATGCACCATCTAGAAGAGGAAAGGTTTAACAGGTCTGAGTTTCTGTTTCCCTTCTTAGCCACTGAGCCCTGGAAGAGCTTCAAAGACAAGTTAAACTTCTTCTGGGATTCACAATGGAATGAAAGGGAGAGAAAGGATGATTTCTCCACTGAAGGGGATAGATTGTGGTTTCTGAGCTGAGGACTTGGTATGCAGGAAATAGGATACATAGGGAGTTTCTCAACCAGAAGTAGGAAGGTTTATCTGCATGCAAGGGACTGTGGCACCAGTGATGTGTGAGTGAGGTAGGGAAATTCTTGATCCCACAGCTGCCTATTTGGCCTGGGTCATTTTGTAACCATGGCCCACTCATGCTTTTCCCCAACTGTTTGCGAGTGAAAAATAACTTAAGTAATATTTATTTATTTGTTAATTAGAAATCAATTCTAGTCCCCTTTTGGAAAGAAGTCCCTAGGATGTGCGCAAGCTCTCTTCTCTACACTGGGGAGTACAAGTGTTCTGGCCTAGTCCCCCTTGGCAGCTGGGTTCACAATTTTCCCCATGAAAAGGATGCTGTGGGTGTCTTTGTTCATAATCATCATCAAGAACGGCCTGTTGAATTTGATGTGAGGACGAGGAGTTTCAAACATTGAAGACATTAGCATTATTTCTACCACAGTCACTGCAGCAGCCTCTGTGCCGTTCTCACTAACATCCACCATGGCCTTGTGCGTTGCCTGCAAGGGAAGCGAAGATTAAAATCAAGATACAGAAGAGTGAGAAGCAACTAGGGATAAACTTATTTGCTTTAATACTGTGAGAAAGTAGTTATTAAAAGAAAATACAGAATGAATGTGGAACTAGTGTGAAAAAGATACTCATGTCTAGCCTTTCCAAGACAAGAAAAATTTGCTCTGAGTTCAGGGAGAGTTTTCTTCAACACTCTGGCAGAGTCAAACTTGGCTGCTTGCAGAGCAGCACAAAAACCATTTATTGTTCTGTTGATTCTCAGAGTAAGATTTTGTCCTTAGTATTTAAGACAGAAGAAGAAGGATTTCATTTTGTATCAGTTTCTGTGTATGTTAAAAAAATTCTTTCTGCAAAGACACAATAGTGACAAGCTTTGTAGGGTGTCTTTCTGTAACCACTGCTGATAAGACTTTACAGGGCTTTCTGTACTGTGTATAGTAAGTTCATATTTCTAAATTCACGTGATCTTATTTCATTATCCTTGGTCAGCCTTCCATGTTTTTCCTTCATTGTCTATAGTACATCTGAAAAGTCATCTAATGAAGTCCTGCTGCCCCTTCTCTATTCACTTATCTTGTATCTGTAATCCAGGTATTTACACATGTAATAATTGAGTGTGAGGAATCACACTTAATAATTAAATAATACTTAATAACTAAATAATACAGGTTGGAAGGACCTCTAGAGGTCACCCAGTGCAACCAACCACCCTGCACTGAGAACTCTGACACTAGATAAAGTTGATCAGGGTCTCAGTCAGTCAGGTTTTGCATATTTCCAAGGATGAAAATTTCATAGTCTATGTAACCCATCCAAGTGTTGAATTTTTTTTTCTCATAATATCTGATACAAATTTCCCATTTTCTATCTCATGTGTGTTGTCTCTTGTCCTGTCACCTGAGCGCCACTTTCTTGTTTGTGAAATGGGGTACAAGTACTGTTCTACAAGCCCGTTGTCCATATGAATTCTGAGATACTCAGATTATGCAGTAATGAAAGGTGTATACATAGGATAAGAATGACTATTCCCAAACCTATGTTTTAACTATGACTCTTGTTATGCATTAATTATTGTACACCAGCTTTATGCATTATTTATTTTACACCAGATTTAGGCATTAATTATTTTATACCATCTTTTTTTAATTATTCCTGTTACTCTTTTCACATCTGTTTCCTTCTTCAGAGATTTCTAAGTGAATTTGAAGAATCACTATGCAGTAAACAATTTAATACTAAACTATAGGAACAACAACCATTTAGTCCCTAACCTTCTCCTTCCTTTATTACCATCAGTGAGCTGTGACTACACTCCAGAAGTCGGATCAGCCTATTTGCAGTGATGAAACTCACATATAAATGAGGCAGACAAATCTCTTGATTGCCATCTCTGTTAGCATACTTACTTTGGTAACCTTTAGAAGACGTTTTTCTGCCACTCCAGAGAGATCAGCCTGGTCACTGAACACCTCTGTTATACCCATTTTCTCAAACAGGCTCTTAACATCATAGGAGCCAGAGATAGAGAATTTCGGAAGGTCCAGGTAGATTTCTCTTTTCAAAAATAACCAAAAAAAACCAGTTTATTATTGCAAGATCCTCAATGCAGTAGCTATTGCAGATATACACCCATCCCAAACACCCATGGAGCTAATGCTTGACATTCTAAGACAGAGACAAATCCTATGTTAGAGAAGCAGCAGTTGAGGTACTCATCCCACCAGCCACAGTCTGATCAGTGGTGCAAGGACACAATGTTGGTTTATGAAAGTGACTGGATGGAAAGTGTCATCCAGACTGGAAATAAAGAAATTGCATTGTCTTTTGAACTGGATTCTGTCTACTCAGGGCAGGCTTCTAAGGGTGATGTACCTGATTGCAGGATCCTCACAGCTGTGCATGGCAGAGCTGAGAATAAGGTTTACCTGAGGTACAAAATCTTCTCATACCTTGTCTGATGTAAAGAAACTATAGAATGCTTGTTTCTCAGAGCTGTGCTTAGCAATTCATTGTGGCATCCTAACCTTTACTTTGCCTGGAGGAACAGTTACAGCCTTTTTGATATTTAAACAAAGCAGCAGTTAAAATATTACCTTAGTTTAAGTGATTGCATCCAGTTAGACACTGTTTCTTTTAGCAGTGCATCCTCCACCTGCTTCATTGTCCCTTCATCAGGCAGAACAAACAATGCAGCAACATTTCCTTTGTATGGGATTTCTACTATCCAGCAAGACAACTTATCATCCCTATAGACGTTAAAGGCTTTGCTTTGATGCATCATTTCGACCTTAACAGAATTCTTGGCATCCAAGAAGAAGTCATCATTTCTGGTGGCCAAATTGCTGAATGGTTTTTCCCAGTAACCTTTTGACAAATGAATGAGTATAGAATTGGATAAATTAAAAATGAGACTAATAAAGGCATATCACATTAGTTCATGCTTAAAATATTGTATTTGAATTGTAAAGGCAACAATAAGCCTATCTCAGTTTAGGGATGCTTGGTCCCTCACCATGAAAAGAAGCTTTACATCATTTCAATGGTTCTAATAAAAATCACACAAGAAAAATACAGGCTGAGGGTTGCCATGCAAAAATACCTGAATGTTTGCCTGCTAAAACAATGGTAAAACTCCCACAGACTCCCACTAGAGAGGCTTCAGGCCCACTCCCTTCATACAAGTGTCATCTGTGTTTGACCACATCCCACACAGCCAAACACCTGTGCCTTTCAACAAGTGATCATAAGGCCCCAAGCTCGTGGTTTCTAAGTATTTTCAGCTATGGACCTGGCTTAAAACTGAAACGACATTGATCAGTACTTCTATGAGTTCTTGCTTGCTTGCTTGCTTGCTTGCTTGCTTGCTTTCTACCTTGCTTTCCCTCTTTCTTTCACTTTCTTTTTCTCCATTCCTTCCTTCCTTCCTTCCTTCCTTGCTTTCCCTCTTTCTTTCACTTTCTTTTTCTCCCTTCCTTCCTTCCTTGCTTCCTTCCTGCTTGCCTGCCTGCCTCCTTGCCTTCCTTCCCTTTTCTTTCTTTCTTTTTATTTCTCTCTTTCTTTTGTTCTTTCTTTTGTTGTTTCTTTCCTCATGTAGAAAGACATATTTAAATTAGATGATAGCATAGGTTCACAATGTAGAAAAAAATATGTTTCTTAGATCTGGGTAGGACTCCCAGAGATTATATGTATAATTGCTATTCATATTTGTCACTCACCTTTAAAGAAAATGTAGTTAACCAGAACCATCACAGTGCTTTCACCAAGTTCCCTGAGAAAATCAACAATTTTCCCATGGGTTTTTGTTTCTATGTACTTATTGATTTCCTCTGTAGCCTTTGTAGAATTCTTGAAGCTAGTAGAAATAGCTTCAGAATAATAGAAATTTGTGACATCATCCAAAAATTTTTGGAGCAGTTTCATTTGGTCATCTATGAACAGGGCATTGCCCATGCTCAACTGGACTTCTTGATGAGAGTCATTCAGCAGCTGGAGGACACGCTGAAATCCCTCATGGATCTCTTGCTCCTCCACCTCTGTCAGGTTGAAGGCAAGGCCTTCGTGCAGTTGACTGAGTGTGCTTGATCTGGCCCCCAGGGAGAGCATTGCAAAGGCAGTGGAGATGCTCAAAGGAGAGAAGAAAATGTTCTCGTTGCCTGCTTCCTCTCTGACCTGCTTGTAAAGCCTAAATGCAAAATCAGTGTTGCTGGAGGCTATCTTGATGTGAGCCAAGTTTTCGCCTTCATCCTGGGAATGGTCTCCCAGGAAATGGATTATTCTTTTTTCCTGCTGTTGTCCAGTCACAGACCTCTGTTGACCATGTACTTGAAGTCCAACAAGCACCAAACACAAATACAATGGAGACTTCATTTTCATGCTGAAAACTTCTGTTAGGAAAGAATAGAACAACTTCTATCTTTCCTGCATAAAAACATATTTTCTAGACACCAATTTTCAGATGTCGGGTTTTGGGATTACTGCTCTATTTAGAAATATTCTTCTGCTTGGCCTGCTGAGTAGTCTATTTGACACACACAGAATCACACACATACAGAATTGTTGAGGCTGGAAAAGACCTCTGAGATCATCCCAACACCATCACATCGGCCAGACCACAGCACTATGTGCCACATCCAGCCTCTCCTTTAACACCTCCAGGGACAGTGACTCCACCACTTCCCTGGGCAGGGCATTCCAATATCTGACCACCAGATCTGACCAGATTACCACTAATCAGGTCAGTTCTCTCAGTTTCTGAACAATGAGTGAAAGAAGGAAGATATTAATGTGGAGTCATCAGAGAAGAACCAATGGTGTGTAGGCTTTTGTAATGTATCATGACTGAAATAATTCTGGTCAGCATGGCCTCATTGCACTCAAGTACATTTAGGTGCATGGCTGAGTTCACCTATTGGCCCCTATGTATTTTCTAAGTACTTTGGCAGAGGGACTGACTTCTGCTGATGTATTTCTGTAGTACCCATGGTCTTGTTGTGACTTAGGTTTTCAAGCACTGCAGTGATACAGAGATAATATTATTTATAGATTAGAATAAAATCCATCTAGACTGTTTGTATCTTTCTGCCTCTCGAGTAGCAGCTCTGAACTCAAGAAATATATTATTTCAAAATAGTACCTTAAATGTTTCAGCAAATTGAGGTTAAATTGAGAAAGTTTATTTACTCTAGTGCACATAAATTATCCATAAATTTGCAAAGCCCGAGACTCAAGAGTTTAGGGAAAGCTATATTGGAATCTGCCTTGTATGAGTAATTCAGTGACTTTTACTCTTCCTGTAATGACATAAACAAATTCTGCATAATCTCACGGTCTCTCTTCTGTCCTTTTCAGGTGAAGAAACATGAAATATACTGGAGAAGGATGTTCTCCATGTGATGCGTCACCTGAATTATCTCAAATGACAGGAACTCAGAAACGTGAAGTAGGCAGTGGCCTTTAGGAAAATAGAGATGATCTCAATGTTGTTCCTTACTCTGGAGCATGGGATTCTCCCCCAGGGTCTACCTCAGGCTGTGTACCTAATGCCAGGTTTAGGTCTTATATCAGATAATTCATGAGGAGTTGTTAATTCTGGGTTCCCCTTTTTCTGTCTGTACAGTATGAAATATTGGAGATATAAGTTGTGTAAGAGCTGAGTATGGGAGCTATGCTCAGCATGTCTAAAATGCTGGATAAAAACATCAACTTTGACAAAAAAAATCATTCTGAATGGAGGTAATTAATTTTGGTCTGATAAATCTTCTTTTCATAATTTCCCAAATCTACTTTTAAGAGACTGATTTTGCTTCCAGGCCACTTGGCTGGAAGTAGCCTGGACTTTAAGCATACTGGAAGTACAGGGATGCTACTGTCACTAGCCCTGCATCAGTACGGAGTAGTCAGGATATTGAGATCGCAACTAAATTCACTCCTCTGGGAGCAGAGACGAGGTTTTGTTCTTCAACTTAGTATTGGCTGTTGAGCACTCATTTTGGGCATCATCTCTCAGTCATCCTGCTACTACAGCTAAGAGCTATATCAGTAACTAAATACTGCTGCCAACATTTAGAACATGCTTCTAGAAGTTAAATAATTTCCAATTGCTGTACAAAATAAATTAATCTCAGAATGAAATATTTTGCCATAAATAGCAGAGATCACAGCATAAATTCAAAGACTTCTAACAAAGTATAATATGGTACTTACAGTGCTGGACCTCTCTTTCATAGGTCTTTTTCCCTGTTCTTCATTTTGCCGGGTAGTATTAAATTCATGTCCACTGGTAAATATTAAACAGAACAAATAAGATTTATTTGCAAAGCAAAGACTGAGCAAGCTATTTTTTTTCTGGACATCAAACATTGTAAGTCTCTCTTCCCATCATACAGGCAGAATGATGCCATCACCTAGGGCTCTGAGGGGAGAGAGAGAGCAGGGACCTTGGGTGTGAACTAAACTGTGGGCAAAAAAATAGAAAAATAGAAAGTTATTTAAAAATAGAAACGATAGAAAGTTATTTAAGCATGAGATGCATGGCACTTATCCTAATTAGCAATGACTAATTATTTCCATTGAATGTGCATGATTTCACCCCAGGTAAATCTACAATTTATCTATACACTGGAATCTTCCCATCATGGTTATTGCTGTGTAACTACTATCTTTTACAAGTTAGAGGCAGAGTTGTTCAGAACGTATTTCTGCAGAGAGGTTTTTTTTCATGACATGTGCAAGTACCTAAGATGTTTATTGCAGTATTATATAAAATGACCAAGGTTCAGCA